AACTAGTATTAGAGCATGCCAACCCTTTCTTCTTTTCTTCAGTCCTACCCTCTTTCCCTCCTTCCTTCTTCCCTTTCATTTTTTCTTTCTTTCACTCTTTGAACCTCTCAGACACACCTTTTATATAAATCCTATGTAAAGACAGAGCCATAAGGTCGAATTCAACTTAGAGATACATGCTGCTTATTTCTATACGATGTCTTCATGAGGTTAATATGTGATTCATGTTTCAAAGCCCAACTTCACAGACAGGATCAAGACACAGTAAGACCATAAACATTCACCAGCTACAAACTTTAAATAGAGTCAAGTGCATAATGGTAAGCAGCCCTCAACTTAGGAAGGGGTTATCTTCCCAAAGGCAGCTTGTTCACTGGTCATTTAGAATTGGAAATCTTTTTCTCATTTGTTCCAGGGCAAGTTTGCAAAAATACAAATACACATTACACTAATAACACCATGATTTCTACCTCATCAAGCAGTAATATAGCAGTATTTTTATGGGAAAAGACAAATATAAGGCTCAACTCAGTATCTCAGGAGCCCATCCTCCTTTTCTTTGAGCAGTATGAGCAGGCTTCTCAGCTTCTGGAATTGGAGATGAAAGGTACTTCTGGGACACCCATAGCAGAGAGCCCAGCACCAGTAGCTTGTAAGTAAAAGGAAGCTAACTCACTGGGACAATCATACTCAAGATTTCCAAACTAGAGAACAAAAGAAAGGAAAGAAATTTCTGACTGTGAGATCAGAGAAAGCAGAACCACAAAAGGTGAACTGTCTTGCCTTCTTCAACACACACACACACACACACACACACACATACTTTTCCTTGTGTTACCAAAATTCACCCATAAATTGGTCAATTGTAGGCTAAGACTGTCTGTAATGATAATAATAACTGGGCTTCAGAAGCCTCAAGAAATATAGCATTAGTATTAAGGAATATATTTCCCATTAGCATTTTTATTATTTGCAGCGTAATTTATTTTAAAACCAATTTAATTCCATTTAACCTATCAAATAAAACAAGCATGGTTAAATTAAACTTTGCAGGGTGTGAAATAACTTAAGGAGAGCTTTAGAGAAGGAGATTGGAAGAACCCAGAAATTATATTTATTCCTTACACATATTTCAAAACACAATGAAAATGTAGTGCAAGGCTGCAAACTTGTGTACTTTGTCAAATATAGATCACATATCTTAAAATAAGTAAATGCAGGAAAGTGCAACAAAGGTGATAGCATTTATTACTTGCTGTTTCTTATGCTTATATTTAAGCTTCTTAATCAAGAATATTTAGAACAGCCCACATTATATGTCTATTTAAGCTTCACTTCACATAAACTCCTGAAAAAAATAAAAGCATGTATCTTGATCAGAGCTATTAGGACATAAGTGAAATATTTTCACAGCTCTACTCTCTCCTGAGGGCACAGTCTTGAAATTCAGCACTTTGGAGAAATACAGGCATTATTTAATAGTGGCTCATAAAAAAGTGTATAGGTTCAATACAGAAGCTCTTAACCCACTCAATTAACTTAGTAGATTAAAACACAACCAGAATTCCCCTCTTGGGAATCTAAGTTTTGTTTTCACTATAACCCTTACATGAGTCCAGGTTTGATGGAAAGAAATCTATTAATCCACGTCATAGCGTGGTGGTTAAGAAAATGGGCTTTGGGGGCGCCTGGGTGGCTCAGTTGGTTAAGCGACTGCCTTCGGCTCAGGTCATGATCCTGGAGTCCCTGGATCGAGTCCCGCATCGGGCTCCCTGCTCAGCAGGGAGTCTGCTTCTCCCTCTCCCGCTCCCCCCTCTTGTGCTCTTTCTCTCTCTCACTCTCTCTCTCAAATAAATAAATAAAATCTTTTAAAAAAATTAAAAAAAAGAAAATGGGCTTTGGAATTAAGCCTGGATAAATCCTTCATGCGCCTTAGGAGTCGTGTGGCCTAAGACAGGTATCTTAACCTCTCGGTGCTTCAGCTTCCTGCTCTGGAAACTGGAGTTCTTCATTTATTGAATACCTACCATGTGCCAAGCACTGTTCTGAGAGCTGGGAACATAATAATAAAGAATATGTATGGTCCAAATGTTCAGCAAGTTGACATTCAAATGGGTGGAGATGGAGAGTTTTTAAAATCACTCGACAAGAACATTTTCAGGGAAAATTAGGTGTTAGATGAAAATAAAGCAGAGTGATGTGAAAGGGGTATCAGGAGGTATTCTGGACAGAGTTGTCAAGCTAACCCTCTCTGGGAGGTGAGACCTCATCCGGGACCTGAATGACAAGGAGGAGCCATCCGTGCCGAGGTCTAGGAGAACAGCTGTCCAGATAGAGGGAACCGCTGGTGGAAAAGCTCCAAGGAGGGAACGAACTTGGGGTGTTTAAGAACAAAACGAGGCAGAGCAAGTGGGAAAGAAGCAGGGCGTGAAGAGACTGCATCACGCTGAGCCTTAGAGGTCCTGGTAGAGGGTCTGGTTTTTATTATAAGTCCACTGGGAAAGTCATTAGAGGATTTTCATCCCAGTGGTTGTAAAGATTAAATGAGATAACCTCTGTGAAGGGCTCCACACAGCAAATGCATGGTGCATAGTGCATACGCAACAAGATGTGTCATCATCACCATGGCTACGTGGACAACTCTGACATACAATACTGTAAGTGAGGCCCAAAATCTTCATTCATGTAAAAGTCAGGGTCGGAGTACCTGGGTGGCTCAGTCAGCTGGGTGTCCAACTCTTGATTTCGGCTGGGGTCGTGATCTCAGAGTCATAGGATCGAGCCTCTCATCAGGCTCCGTGCTTGGCACAGTGTCTGCTTGTCCCTCTCCCTCTGCTCCACCCCTGCTTGCTCTCTCTCTCTCTCAAATAAATAAACAAATAAAATCTTAAAAAAATAAAATAAAAAGTCAGGGTCAAGCTAGTGTAAGATTACTTGAGAACAGGGCCTGAACAGAGGATAGGAGTCAATTGCCAAGCAGCATAAAGCCAAATTCTCATTATTGTGGGCCCTCTTTTACTCTGTGGTCTTTCTCATCATGATTATCAGCAATTAAACTGAAGTCAAATCTTAGGCCAGCACTGTTCCCCAGCCTTGACTTTCGCCATCTGGAATGCAATGACAATGTGCCTATGGCAAAATCAATCTGAAGGAGCAAGATTTAATGCCATGGTCACTATAAAATGTCATCAACATTCCTTAATTTCTTCCAGAGCATCGTCAGGTAAGTGGACTTTCTACTTTCCGGGCTTGGTGAGAATCCTTCCACCCATTTCCCAGAGCTGGTAGGGAGCAAATACTTACTGGGCTGGGAATATGGAGAAGTCCATTTCAAGTTGGAACTCACGTGGGTGGGCCAAAGATTTTTTTTTTTCCTGGCCACACTTGACCATCTGTGCTTTCTCTTTCTGTGAGAACACTATATAAAGCCATCCTTACTACGTGGATCATTTCATTTACTAAATCATGGTTTATTTTTTCCTCAGGATATCACATGCTATTTTGGAGAAGGTTTTCAAAAGGTCTTAAGTGACTTGGCTTGAAATTGGTTTTGTATTAAGGGAAAGAACCGGTGTCCCAGAGTTTCAATCAGCACTTCAACAAACAGGCGACTGACCTCCCGCAGATTGCCCAGAGGTTGCCAACAGTAATAGTGGGCTATAAGACTTCCAGGGTTCATTTCTTTCTGCTGCTTTTCTACATTTTTCCTACCCTATTTTTTAGTGAAAACAGGACTATGGTTGAGGGTCTTACAGGAAGGGGTTGGGAGGGAGTTGGCATACAATAAGATCTGTTGCCACCTCCCATCTAACTGCAGAAGGTTCAATGATGTGAACTGCTTGGTTTCTGCATGGAAATAATTGTTTTTAAATATTTTATTTATTTATTTGAGAGAGACAGAGAGAGAGAGCACAAGTGGAGAGAAGGGAGGGAGAAGAAGAAGGAGATTCCCCACCAAGATGGGAGCCTGATGCAGGGCTCAGTCCCAGGACCCCGAGATCATGACCTGAGCCGAAGGCAGACGCTTAACTGACTGAGCTACCCAGGCGCCCCTCTTTGCATGGAAATAATTGAACTACCCAAGTTGTCCTTCACAGGAGTGGTAAAGAATTATGTTTCTACATCAAAGCCATCACAACATTGCTTCAAACAACACACTATGTCATTAGCACTCAATACTGTTAAATATAGTCACATTTCACTCATACATAATTTTGGGGGAATGAGGTTTTCTCCATAAATGAATTTTCCAGAAAAGTGATGCTTTGCCCATCAAGGATCAAAAGATGTTTTTTCATCATTTTTGATAGAATTTAAATGTATTTTACATATTCAGCAACCACTTAAATAAGATGCAAGAATCATTATTTGTTTTGTCTTTTCACAGCCAATGATCACTTGAAGTGTAACTCACTGCTGCACACAATCACTTCACCAAATAGCCCCACTTTGTCTCCTCTAGTCCTTCACGTCTCCTTTAGGAATGTCAGGCCCTCGTCTGTCTGGCTATTCTCTGTCACTCTTCACAACTATCAGTAGGTCGGACTGTTAGCTTATGCATTCTCACACCTGTTCTCATTTGCCCTGTGTGAGAAACTAGACCGCAGTATAGAGTTTATGGGAATGAGTGGCATTTTTTGACAATAATTCTCAGTCCCAAAGGCCCCAGGTAGGGGCCTAAGAGTCATTCTGTACCTCAAATGAGAAGAAAGTGGTGGGCTGGAGGATGCAGTTTCCTGGCTAACACGTTTTCCTTTTTCCTTTGTAATTTTTGGGCAAAGCTTGAGAGTCATCTTGAGATAAGTGACTGTATAGTATTGCATTTTCTAAACATGTTCCTTCCCTGTATCTCTCATTTATGCATAAATTATCTTATTCATCTCAGAAAGTTAATTTCTAAGTGTTGTTAGCCTGTATTTGCCTAAGTTGTCAAAAATCCCTGTATGATGATGTAAGGGGACAAAAAGATCTTTTGGAAGGAGATTTTTGGTAGCCATTACCCTTCTTGATCAGGATTCCTGCTGTGATTTAACTTTCACCTCAGTAGTGTGATTTGGCACAGTCAGAAGAGTGAATATCTGTGAAGAAACAGAAAATAGTTAAATCAAATAACAATGAGAAAATGTAATTTCTCTAGCCATCCACTACATAAATAGACACATGGATCCGTTCTAACTTTTATCTCCCTGAGACTGACCCTAATGAAAATCCTAGTGGAAATCATTGTAATAAAAATAGCCAAAACATTAAGAATAGGACAAGCAAGCATGACGATGGCTGATAAGCATTTGAACCATCAAGCATCCTTACTAATCCAACCACAAAAATAAGTACTGGCTCATGGGCTAAGTACCCAAAAGAAATCAGGGACCATCTTACATGAATCAGTTAGTGTGTGTACCTTAAGGAAAAGAATTCTACAATGATCCTTTAGTTCCCCTTATTATTATTTTTTTTTTTTTTTGAGAGAGAGAGAGCACACAAGAGCACATGGTTGTGGGGGGTCGGTGCAGACAGATGGAGAGGGAGAGAGAGAATCCTAAGCAGGCTCCACACCCAGCATGAAGCCCGACCTAGGGCTCAATCTCACGACCCTGAGATCATGACCCAAGCCTAAATCAAGATCAGACGCTTAACTGACGGAGCCTCTCCCCTTATTATTTTTAATAGAATCTACGTTTAGTAATGTAAGTTTTAAACTTTGGTGTTGTTGTACTTATAGTTGGTTGTGTTTCTAGCAAAAACTGTAAATTCCTCTCCCTAAATTAGTAAAAAAAAAAAAAAATCATTCTGAAGTGAGGCTTCTAAGCCCTTGAATCATCCTCAAACCATCTGTAAGTCCATAAACTAGCACTTTAAATATATATATATATATATTTTTTTTTTTTTAGGATTATATTTATTTATTAGAGAGCGAGCAAGAGAGAAACAGCGTGAGAGGGGAGAGGGTCAGAGGGAGAAGCAGGCTCCCCGCTGAGCCGGGAGCCTGATGTGGGACTACATCCCAGGACTCTGGGATCATAACCTGAGCCGAAGGCAGTCGCTTAACCATCTGAGCCACCCAGGCGCCCCAAATATATATATATATTTTATCCCACCTCATTCCATAAAGGATTTGATGAGGTTTATAAAAAACAAATAAAATCAGTAAATATATTTTTTTAAGCTGAGATAGTCAAAAAAAAAAAGAAAGAAAGAAAGAACAAGCAAGAAAATAATAAAACCAAGTAGTAAAAGTAGTATACAGAAATGGTGCACCATTAGCCTCTATGGTTGGCAGAGCTGGGCTACACATTTGGCTCAAAAATTCCAGCAGTTTAAGAGAGAAACACAGAAGTTGTAAGATTCATAGAGGCCATAAAATAAAAACAATGGTGGAATAATGAGATAAGTTTTCCCGACAAGTCACATAAAAAGGAAATGTAATGAAATGTTTGACATCCAGGAAAACAGGCCGAGAGTAGAGACAATAGTCCATTACATTTGGCTGTTCCTTATTATAAGACAATGACATGATACCAAAATGCAATTTGTCAAACTCAATTCTCCAAATAACTAGAATTTTGATGGTCTGGCTTGATCCAACAGCAAATTTGTTATCTAAAGGAGAATGAACTGCATGGCATTCAGGGGATTTCTCACAAACATAAATTTTTGCAATTAGGTTTCTGGTAAGGATAAAGGATGATTAAAAGTTATATTCTTAAACTAGAATTCCAGGGTACAGATATTCTGTGTAGCAAAATAAAGCAGGGAAAACTGAAGAACTGACCAAGATAAACACCCAGGTACCTTGGGAGTGGACTGATATCATGCCCTGCAAATATTTCTGAATTCACTTCAAAATATAAATAAATGGAGGGCGCCTGGGTGGCTCAGTCGTTGGGCGTCTGCCTTCGGCTCAGGTCATGATCCCAGGGTCCTGGGATCGAGTCCCACATCGGGCTCCCTGCTCGGCAGGAAGCCTGCTTCTCCCTCTCCCACTCCCCCTGCTTGTGTTCCTGTTCTCGCTGTCTCTCTCTCTGTCAACATAAATAAATAAAATCTTTAAAAATATATATATATATATATATATATAAATGGAAAAGATACCAATGCTCGACAACACACAGAATGACTACACTAATTTTTAGCTTGAATCTTTATAACACAGATATTACCAATCATTCACTGTGGCTCAAGAAAAAGAAAAACAAAAACAAAACTCAGTAAAACACTGGAGGAGGGCGCCTGGGTGGCTCAGTCGGCTAATTGTCTGCCTTCAGCTCAGGTCATGATCCCAGGGTCCTGGGATCGAGTCCCGCATCAGGCTCCCTGCTCAGTGGGGAGTCTGCTTCTCCCTCTCCCTCTGCCCACCCCCGCTTGTGCTTCTCTCTCTCTCTGTCTTAAATAAATAAATCCTTTAAAAAAATAAATAAATGAGAGAACAGTTGTTGGCCAAATATTTAAAAAAAAAAAAAAAACACTGGAGGAAACCTTAATTCAAATAATATTGCTTTCTAGTGAATCCTACAAGACACATTCATTCTGATATTTTCCTAAGATAACCTGCTGAGTGGAATTGTTGAATAAAAAGCCAGTGAATGTTGGAAAACTCTTAGCAAAAAAGGGTGATTGGTGTTTGAGTGGCTATGGTAGACTGCATGCACTATTGTGCTCAATTGTCATACTTCCTTGCATCTACACTCTCCAGTACTGCCCTCCCACATTGATTCTGGGCTGGGCCATGTGTCCTACTCCAGCCAATATGATAGTAGCAAATTTGACAAAAGGCTTGCTCATTTCAGCTTGCGCTCTTGGAACTCTCCATTTCAGCGAGCACCAGCCCAGGTAGCCTGCTGGAGGATGAAGTCGTGTGAGACACAGCTAAATTGTTCCATTTGAGGCCTCCTACCCTGCCAGTTCCCAGCCTACCCACCAGCTGACTGTCCTTGCCCTAATACAACAAAGCCTGGTCCAGATCAACCAAAGCGCCCAACCAGTCCTCTACGTGTGAGAAATGATAAGTGGTTGTTGTTTTAAGCCGCTAAGCTTTGGAGTGGTTTGCTAATGATAGCTGATACAGCAATCACTAACTGCTACAGTACCGGAATTTGAGCTATACTTTTACGTAGTATTAGAAAATAGTACCAAGAGGGCGCCTGGGTGGCTCAGTTGGTTAAGCGACTGCCTTCGGCTCAGGTCATGATCCTGGAGTCCCTGGATCGAGTCCCGCATCGGGCTCCCTGCTCGGCGGGGAGTCTGCTTCTCCCTCTGACCCTCCTCCCTCTCATGCTCTCTGTCTCTCATTCTCTCTCTCGCAAATAAATAAATAAAATCTTAAAAAAAAAAAAAAATAGTACCAAGAGTTGGTAAAGTCATTTCTAGAGCTTGGTAATATTAGTAGATAATATTTACTACTTCCACTCTGAATGGGAGTAGGGAGGGATTCAATTAGCTCGAAAATAGTACCAAGAGTTGGTAAAGTCATTTCTAGAGCTTGGTAATATTAGTAGATAATATTTACTACTTCCACTCTGAATGGGAGTAGGGAGGGATTCAATTAGCTCATCCAAAAGTAATATTGAATATTAAAAAATGAGTAAAAAGAAAGGAGGTCTTCAAACATTTCTGTTTTACTCATCTTGAGATAATTGTTCAATTGATCAGGAAACTGTTCTTCCAAACCCAGATCTTTACACTGGTGTTAGGATGCAAATTCTATAGAAGATTCTGGATTGGGTTCAATGTTGTATAGGTTAGCCTACGACTGGTTCCTATCCACAGAACCAAATACTAAGTAAAGATCAAAAAAAAAAAAAAGATGTGAACGATCTTATCTTGTTCTTGAAAGATTTCTGCATAAAATATACAGAAAGGAAAAATAATTTACCATGGAAGAGCCTTGCCAAAAGCCTGTTGCTTCTATAGAATATTGGCCTAAGAAACCCAGGCTTGTAATTTTTCATGGGCAACTAGCTAAAATATTTTTTTAAAGAAACAGTAATCTGATAAATCCATAATTAGAAAGGAGTATTTCTCTTTTTTAAGAGGTTGGGGGTGGGGAGCAGAATGTATTACATACTTTGCCCATCAGAGCAAAGTTAGAAAGGTCTATCACCAGCAGACAGTAAACTATTTTAATAACAGAAAATCCTCACCAGGGAACTTAATTTGACCTTTTGAATTAGTAAGACTATGAAAAGAAATGTTTTCTGCATACACTAGAAAGAGAGCAAATTATCATTATAAATTTGAGAAAAGGGGGGTGTCTCATATTGTTTGCTATTGGGGCTTCTTCAATCATCCTCACCAGATTCTTCTCAAAATCTTTCCTGACTCTCAGCTCTACCTGCCAGGTCTGGGCCAGCCACAAGAAATTAAGTTTAAAAACAAAACTTTTAAAAATCAAGAGTAAAAATTGGATTTGGCAAGATCCTGAAGGACTTCTGAATTTCATTTCCTATGTTAGCTCACAAGGCTGGCCATGAGTGCTTTTAGCTTCCTAAAAATCATACACACAGGAATTTCTCAATCAACATCCCATGTAGAAAACAAAAACCACTCTAAGTATTATAAGCAGAAAGGCTTTAATACAAGGAATCAGATGCTTGAAACATCCGTGATAGGATGGATGGTCCTAAGCTCTAAGATGGTCCTCCAGGAATAAATCCCAGATGTCACAGAACTGACCCACCTTAAGATCTATACTTTCTACATAATGGGAAAGTTGAGAATCAAGAAACACCACTGGACAGTCTGAGATCAGGAGCACCCCACTACTGCTCTGATGCAGAGAGCAAGAAGCCAGGATGAGGAAGCTGTCTCCTGGCCATACATTTTGCATGGAGACTAACTGTGGAATAGGGATGCCAAAAATGCATCCTGTCATGACCCTGCCTGCTGGAGGACACACCAAGTCCTCATGAAAATCAACCAGATCTCCCTACCACCTTCCAAACCTCACACGAGTGTATCTAGCTGCTGGAAATCTCACTTATACCCAGCACCGTAACCATGAGGGAATCTGGAAGGTACAGTTTGGGCTTCCTGGCTTCTGCAACACAAGTTGGCACAAGAGCATCAGTCTTGCATGTCCATCAGAGGAGCTATGGCGGTAACTCCTCGTTTTTCTAAAAGAGGGAGTGATGAGCACAGTTTTAGTGTATCAGCAATCCGTTCGTAAAAGCAGAAGGAGAACTTGTCTCTCGGTCCCCTGGGACAGAGATGTGATCAATCTCCAGAGATCTGAGCCATCACCAATGGAATCTAAATGTGTCTTTCTCCATTTCCCCTTTCTCATCCCCTTAACCTAACCAGCTCAATCCCGGCTAGGCACAGATCGCCACAGGGGCAACTAAGCCAACGTTTAAAGTAAGAGGAAATGATCACGTTCATACAGTCCAAGATCTCCATTCTCAGAATGGTTAATACTCAGGGAGTGATTAACTATAACACATTTCAGCTCTTTTTACTTTGCTTTGACCCAGAAAGACTTCAGGGGAGCTGTTCACTACAGCATTGCCTTGGACAGATTGGCTGGACTACTTATGAACCTCTGAATGTGGGTCACAACCACAGTCCATCTTGGAACAAAAAAGTCATAGGCATTCCTTATACTAAAGTTACAGACGATCCTGGCCCCTGGCCACCATTAAGCGTGCCAGCAATTCTTGCTTAGGCTAAGGCAGCCATAGGGGCTTGTAGTACCCTTGATTTGAGAATTCAGCAGAACTTGGGGTTTTTTTGTTAGATAGCAATTCACTGAGCCAACCAGATGTTCTCTTTTGGGATGTTTAAATATGAAACACACAGAAACCCACCTGAGGGGGACAGGGCAGCTAAGAGACACATAGAGACAAGGAAAGAAGCTGAAGCTAAATGTAGAGAGAAGAAAAAGAGGCCAACAGTAGAAAGAGGTGAAGAGAAGCAGAAGCCATAGAAACAGAGATAAACTTAGGTATAAAAATAGTAACTCAGAGACACCAACCTGTAGCATGTACATGAAGTCATCTTGCCCTAGGACAGATGTGCAATTTCTTACTTTTTTGCAATCCTTAATAATCCACACCCTCTAAAGTGATTTGTTTTCCTTGCAACCTCAAGGAGCCTAACTCAGTTCCCAGAATAGAGGGAACTGACCTTTCCAGGTTTGTGCCTTGTGTTACTGTTTAGAATAAGAAGCATCTGTTTGCAAATGAAGTTGGTGGGAAATTTACCATTCAACATCTCCTTCGGGGTCCCAGAGAAATGGCTCATGGGAAATTAAATCTGTCTTTTGATGTTTTGAGGCTGGAGGAATGTCTCCACCTGTTCTTTAACAGACCAGGTGTTTAAATGGTTCTTCCTGCTAGGGGGTTCATAGAATAAATGAAAGTCCAAAGATGACAGAAATGTCGTCCAACATCCGGAAGACAGTGGGAAGTCTACTAAAGGCAATATGTGCATCAAGGTGAATCTCAGCTGGTTTATCAGAGAAATTAATCAGGACCAAAAAGTTCCTATAAGAATGGAGAATACTTTGACATTAATGCCCCAAAATTCATATGTTGAAGCCCTCATCTGCAATGTAACTGTATTTGGAGATAGGCCTATGAGGAGGTAATTTAAGCGAAATGAGGTCCTAAGGTGGTGTTCTGATACAATAGAATCAATGTCCTCCTAAGAAATGTCACCAGAGATCTTGCACACAGCAGGATGGCAGCCCCCTACAAGGCAAGAAAGAGGCCTCAGAATAAAACAGAATATTCTGTTGTGGCAGCCTGAGCTGACTACGAGAGCTTGACAGCCACCATCCCTCTGCCTCCTGTAAGTTTGAAAAACACGAGCATAGGGCGCCTGGGTGGCTCAGATGGTTAAGCGTCTGCCTTCGGCTCAGGTCATGATCCCAGGGTCCTGGGATCGAGTCCCGCATCGGGCTCCCTTCTCCTTGGGAGCCTGCTTCTCTCTCTCTCTCTCTCTCTCTCTCTCTCTCTCATGAATAAATAAATAAAAATCTAAAAAAAAAGAAAAAAAAAAAAAGAAAAACATGAGCATAACTAGCACCTCCTTACCTCTGTGCAAGTTTTTTTCCCCATAACTAAGAAAAGAGGAACCTACAACCTTGGACTTAAGGCCTCCGTCAGTAAAATGATTAATATAGCCAGAATACATATAGTAAGTTCACGTGATAGTTTTAAAATAAGGTCTTAAGTTCCCAACTACGCCACATGCTAATAGAGGAATTTTATTCACTGGAAGGGTAACAAGGTCCAGCTAAACAACCAAAAATAGAGAAGAGACATATTGGTCATGGTGTGGGGATTGGTGTCAGCAAGAGAGACATCTGCCTGTGTCAGCTCAGGATCAATCCAGCTCCCTCTTTTGATTCCAAACATGGCCGCCACCACCAGCATTTAGATCAGTGGAAACACGCAGGTTCTCTGGACTAATATACCATTCCTGATGCTGAGCTCACGGAGATTTAATCATCTGGAGAGGATCCCCTTTGATTGTCACTAGGTAAAGTGTCAGGAGTGACAACTGAACCATCTACACCCACACAGCTTGATGTCCACATTAGCATGACTTTACCAGTGTGATGTCTTCATCAACTTAATTATTCCAGGAAACACTGACCCAGGAAGATAAAAGCTGCAAATAAATAACTTTATTGTTCCTTCCAGGAAGTTCCTGAAAGATCCACCAACTCTTCAATAGAAAGCATCAAATGACAGTTTATACTTCAAGATTCTTTGAACGCCTTGCCTCAAATCCTCATCTTGCTGTGCTCATCAATCCTATATCATGATCCATATTCAAACCAACCCAAGCCCCTGCATTGAAAGACCTTCATTACCTGGACTTCAAAAACCCATAAACATCCTAACTTTGCAACTCCCCAAATGAGGTGTTATTAAGATTCTATCAAAGCAGTATTCTCCCTGACTGCAGTACAATAAACTCAGCTTTGCCTCATTAACATGTTGTCTTGGTATTCTATTGATAAGGAAATAATCAAGGGTAACAAAAGGCTGCAAGATCTCTCACAACATGGGGCTACAGAAGTGTTATTTCAGCAGAGTGGGGAGGAAGGGTAAGCGTTCAAAAGATGGAATGGCAAGATGCACCCCTTTGAGGACCAGGAATCACTGCTGGAGTGAACCCTCTAAAGATAGCCACAAGGAAACACAGTGTCAAGAAACTAGGGGAATGGATCTGCCTTGGTGCCATGGCAACTTTGCATCTATCCATGTAGACCACATAAGGAAAGGCAATCCCAAACTAACCTGGGTCTTGGCAGAATGTTTTGGGATTCTCCTGGAATACAAGAGGATGGGAAGCCTTCAAAGAGCTTCTTCAAGGCCCTTTCCCCTTCACCTCTGCCAAAAAAAAAATTATTAAAGAAGACAATGTAGGTGATAAAAACAAACTTCAGTTCAAACTTTATGAAGAGTCACCTTTTGGAGAACTGCAAAGTGGAGTGCAAGGCAAAAAGCTCTTATAGGATAAAGAATAAGAACAAGACAAATAGAAAATTTCTGATTGTCTGGGGCCACATAGTCAGCCTTGTTTGGAATGAGAAGGCCCAGAGATGGCTTGGTATTTGGGGATTGGCTGACTGGATATACTGCATTTCTGGGCAGAGAGTGTTTCCAGGGACACAAAAGGTGTCTAAGTTTCAGTTTGCTGATATGGCACCCTGAACAAGAGTGGTTCCATCTTGGGCCTAAAGTTCAACACCTCCCTATCCCCTCTGGGATGCTGTCATGAAGCAGTTTCTCATTATCTCCAGGGTTCTGATGGGGTATGGATCATCCTATTCTATCCCCTGCAGAATAGAGGGGCAGAATATAAAAACAGTTAGTCGTGGTATCCCACAGCCTGCGTTGCAATCTCATAGTACCTCTGGTTTCAGTGTAATTCTTTCTTTTTTTTTTAAGATTTATTTGAGAGAGAGGTTGAACAACGTGGGGGGGGAGGGGGGAAGGGGAGGGAGAGGCAGAGGAAGAGGGATCTCAGGGTGGTGGGAGCCTCCCCTACCTGCCCCCCTCAGGCTTCCCCCTCAGGGGGGAGTCCCCTTCACTCCTTTTCCCTCTCCCTCTGCCCCTCCCCCCACTCGTGTGTGCGCTCTCACTCTCTCTCTCTAAAATATATAAATAATCCTTTTTGTAAAACTCTATTTTTCAAAACCAAATAACGAGGAGTGGCATTGTTTTACATTTTTGTAAATCTCTTTTATATTTGGCTTAATAAAAAAACCTGGCTTCTCATGCCCTTTACATTCAAACTGTTTTAATCACACACATCGTGCATCTCTGGAAAACTCCCCAATTAAAGAATGAGAAAGCAAATGTCTCAGTCTTATAAAAATAGTTTTCTCCTGAGGACCCTAAGGTCTTGGTGAGCCGCAGAGGTGCCTGGACCACACTTTGAGAATCCCTGATATCTTACAATGTTTCCCAACAAGTGGTTCACATATCATTTGATTTGACATGGCAAAAAAAGTTTTATTTCAATAATTATGTATTTTAAGTGCTTATTAGAAGTTATAACTGATGATACACTTGATGCATCTGATAATTCCTTAAGGCACAGCAAAACTGTCCCAATTTTAAAAAATAAGCAATTTGCAAGTGTCCGAGTCAAAGAACAAAAGTCGAGCCAAAACGTTCTGCTTCACGTTTTCTGTATTTTAACAAGAGTGGATTACTTTCACGGAGTGAAATTATTCCTAAAAATATTACATTCAACCTTGTTGAAATCAGCCATACGTTGATTTGGGAAGACACAGAGATCGAGTTTTAAGATTCTGGGCGCATAAAAAAGATTTATATTTCCAGGAAGAAGCAGAAAACATGAATATAGGTAATGGTTAAGAGCTCGTATTTTGTAATCAGTCCGATCTGGGTAGCAATCCTAGGTTTAACGCTACTAGCGCTGTGATCTTGAACAAATTACCATTTGTAAACGTCGGTTTCCCCGTATCAAAAGGAGATAGTCATAGTGAACTCCTAAGATCAACCATTAGCTAAAACACCGCACGTAAAGTAAACAGCACAGAGCCCGGCACACACGAGCGCATTCGCTGTATCGTTATTCCTACAGATTTTATTTATCGCCCTCAAGGCGCCAGCGCTTCCCACAGGGCCCAAGACACAGCAGACGCCCAGCGACAGATTTCGGTGGAGGAGAGCAGGTGCTCCGCCTCGGAGAAAAAAGGCACACCTGCCCTGATGTTCTGGGTGGGTCTGGAAGATTTCGTGCAAGCTAATCTTAAGAGGAGCGGGTTCCAGGTCAGAAATGGCAAAAAAACAAACGTCCCGACCTTGGAGTTTCAGCAACGGGGTTAACAGCGCAGCGAGCGAAGACCGCCAGGTCGCTTGGACGTTTGCCAGCCGGAAGACCGAGGGCGCGCTCTGCGATCGGCCCAATCGATCGACGTGATCGAGGATCGTCAACTCAGTTCTGGCTGCAGGAACTGTTTTTTCTCGCGAGGCTTCAGACCAGGCGGCCAGGGAAGAGGCGGGCCCAGCTGGAGAGCAAAGAGGAGCGTGAGGTCGCCGCACGCTGCGTCCCCAGGAGGCTTTGCGTGCCCCTCGCTTCCTCCCGGATCTTCTGAGCGAGCGCGTGAACGGCTACCTGCGCAGGCCATGGCGCTTCACGTCCCCAAGGCCCCGGGCTTTGCCCAGATGCTCAAGGAGGGGGCGAAGGTAAGGCATGGAGGAAGAGGGAGTGAGGTAGGAGCGTTACCGTACGGCTGCGGCGGCCGGAGCGAAGGAGAGGGGCCTGCTAACGGGCCGGGTGTGCTCCCCGGGCACAGCGGTCGGAGGAAAAGAAGATTCCAGAAAGGGAGGTGTTCTGGGAGGCGCAGGGAGGCTCGGCCACCGAGGCCCGCGGGCGTTTCCGTTCTTCCCCGACTTTTGTCCAAGGGGCAGAGGCGGCGAGAGAGGGGCAAGGCCACGGAATTCGCGTACTATGCTTCCTAGCCGGGCAAGCGGAAAGCAGCTGGTGCATTTTCCTCCATCCCTAAAACGGGGCTGATTTGGCTCTCCACCCTTAAAGGGTGTTTTGAGGGTGAAGTCGAATAACGTGGGTGAAATTGATTTGGGAACCGCGAAGCCGATTGACACAGTTCAAGGTGTGGGTAATCCGAGGAGAGGGACAAGGGCCAGTCCTTGACAGCTTTCCTTCAGATGAGGGGTAGAGGGAGGGCTGCCCGGTTCGTTCGCAGTAGTTCGTTATGGTAGGGAAAACGTTACTCTCAATTCGAATGGGTTTTGGTCCCAACTTAGGTTAGCTAGTTGGATGTAAAACCAACCCTCAGGTCTTGCTTTGCTCTCTAAATTAAGCAAAAGATGGTAGCTTTGCGGTGTAACTCTGGCTTACCGGGTTAAGTATAAGGGACGCCCTGGACTAATTAAAACTTTTTGTTTTGTGGTCAGATCGTGAACGTCATTTCAAGAACATAAGTTCTTTAAAATATCTTGATATACTACTGATAAGTTTCTCTCTTGTGTTCAAAGTGTTCCTTTGTTTGTCTCCCAAATTTCCAATACTTAAATATAGATCATTGTGGTTCAGTTTACAGTAACAGTGTTCGGGAACTAGGTTTTTGTTGGCAGAATACACTTGGGATAACATGAGTATATCAAATAGTTTAATGTAAATCCTAGTAAAACATCTTTGCTGGTAATGACATTGACTATTCTAAAAAGTGAGACTGAAAATTTTTCGTAGTTTTTATTCTTTTGAGACAAGGATAATTTCAAATACTGATAAAAGAAAGAAAGAGTATTGTTTAAAAAAAAAGATTTGATAGAAAGTACTGTAGTAGAGAATGACAAAGTAAGAAAGTCTGCCTCCCCCCGAAAAAAATGAAGGGTCATCTTACAATTAAGTAAGATGTTCAAGGAAGAACTCTTACTCTGCCCCTCCCCCTGCTCATGCTCTCTCTCTCTCAAATGAATAAATAAAATTTAAAAAAAAAAAAAAAGAACTCTTAGCTCAGTACTGAGTGACAAAAGGAAACAGCAAAGCTTAAACAGGGCAGTGTTCCAGGCTGAGAAACTAGTAGGTACAAAGACCCTAAGGATGAAATGAGTTTGACCTGTTAAAGAAAACAGAAAGGTGCTGGGGTTGAACCTCATTAAGGGAAAGCAAGAATGGTGAGAGAGGAATTTAGAGAAGCTGTGGGTAAGGACTTGAGCGTATAGGACCTTGTAGCCCTGAGGAGGGTTTTACATTTTATCGTAAGAGTGATGGGAAACCATTGATACGATCCGAATTATGATCACATGGCTGTTCCTCAGAGAATGGGTGAGGGAAAACGCCAGCATGTAAGCAAGATCAGACTGAGTGCTATTTTAAAAGTTCAGCTCTCGACTCTGAAGATATTGCTTCTAAAGTAATGGTTATTAACATTATGCAGATCACAGTTCCTTTTATGAATATTATAAAAGCCACACCTTATGCTCTAGAACACAACCATCTCATAGAACTACCCGTGATGAGGGACATGTTCTGTATCAGTTCTGTCTAATACAGTATCCACTAGCCGCATGTGGCTACTGAACACTTGAACTGTGGCTAGTGCAGTTGAGATACTGCATTTTTTTTTTTTAAGATTTTATTTATTTTGTCACAGAGTGCGAGCGTGAGCATAAACGGGGAGCTGGAGGCAAAGGGAGAACCGGGACCCTGGGATCATGACCTGAGCTGAAGGCAGACACTTAACCGACTGAGCCACCCAGGCATCCCGAGAAACTGAATTTTTAATTTTAACTATTTAAATAACCACATGTGGTTAATGACTACTATGTTAGGCATAGCAACTCTAGAAAAATGTTCACATGAACAAACAGGAGGCTCATGAAACCCATCTGAGGCCGCAAGTAAATCCCAATTCTTAGAAGTCCGGTATAAAGTTTGAGAATTTTCATATTGTGAGCAATTCAGCAGTTTTTCAGTATGGATGCATTAGAATTGTGTTCCATTTCACAAAAGCATTCAGAAGTCCGTATACTAAACATTTGGGGGCAGGTATGTTAAGTGGAAATTCCCAACAAACAGAAAACTGCTGGCTTTATGATGCTCAGGTTCCTAACATAATAAAAATATTCATACCATATTTTCAAATTGAGTCAAAAAGTAATGATAAACTGAAAGGTATTTTTACCTGAAATACCTCATCTGCATTCACTGATCAATCACAGCATTCTTCCCTGCACTTTGACTACATTTGAAAAAAAAATTATAGGCTTTATGTTTTGATGTGTAAGCAGGTACCTGTGGTCCCTAAAAATGTCACTTTATTCAACCAGTGAGCAAATTTATGGATCATTTATGAATAGCAAGCACCATGCTTTCCATAAGCCTTGCTTGATTATTCTTTCAGCAGTCCTGTAGGTAGGTACTATTATTATACCCATTTTTAAGATGAAGAAAATCCTTGTGTTTCACTGTTCTGTCTAATCAGAACGGGGGTTTGTTTTTGTTTTTTTTATAGCATTTTTCCGGATTAGAAGAGGCTGTGTACAGGAACATACAAGCTTGCAAGGAGCTTGCCCAAACAACTCGTACAGCATATGGACCAAATGGTAATTTCCAAATTCATGTTTTTAAAAGATACAGTGATAGAATTTTATGTACTAGCTTCTTCAAACTTACTCTGGGAATATTATACATAAAATGAGAGTATTAACTACCATACAGAAGCAATTTCATAGTTCATTGCCACCAGTGTAGTGTTTTCCAGTTTTTAACCAGCAACTCAGGTCTCTTTAGAAAAATAGGAATCAAAATGTTACTTTTTATCATATTGAGAGGATAGAAAAATTATGGTGCTTCACTATTGAGATGATACCTAATGTAAGGGAGAAAGTTCTCTTTTGCCTCCTGCCATCAACTGAATTTAATTGGTACACATGTATGGAAAGCAATAAAACTATACTTTTAGGTAGATTATTTGGTCTTTATGTTACTGTAATTTACATTTATTGAACAAAAGTATGAGAAGATAGACATCCTCCCTAATAAACATTAGGAGGTTAGAAAGGACAGGAATAATATGGGGGTGCATTTAGGCTAATAGAGTTTTAAAGAGTAAATAATAGGTGTCTAATTTTTATAGTTATTTTAAAAAATAGATACAAGCTTATATTTCTTGACTAGGTTTTCTTGGGTATTTGGAGAAGGATTTGAGCGATAATGGATTTTTTTTTTCTAACTTTTTTTTTTTCTTTTTTTTTTTTCAGGAATGAACAAAATGGTTATCAACCACCTGGAGAAGTTGTTTGTGACAAATGATGCAGCCACTATTTTAAGAGAGCTAGAAGTAAGTTTTTTCTTTGAAATCAAGGAATGTTTGGTGATGTCAAAAATTAAGTATATATTGACATAGAAAAAACCTCTTAGGACAATAAGGGACTTTTTTCCCCCCGGCTTCAAAGTTTATTATTTTCAGTTTTCCTAATTATGGTGTCCTCTTTAGTTTTAACATCTTACCACTTAAATTTAAAAACCTCACAAGTTATTAGTTTATGGAGGATTGGATGTGATAAAAGCATATTTGCTAATAATCATATCAAAGTGAGTATTTGTCTCATTCTATAGAGTAGAACACTGAAGTGAATTATTCCATAATGCAGAAGTAGCTGATACATAAAACAGTGGTTTAAAAAAAAAAAACTGTTTCTTTGGCTTTGTGAAAATAAAACAGTTGGTGGCATTTTGCTTTGTTCACCTACAGTTTTGATGTTACAGAGTCTGTAGAATAGATAACTACCGGCAGGGTTGTGAGAAAGGTCTGGCACCTGAACATCAGAGAGCCATTCCTCATCTAGCTGCTTTGTAGCTGAAAGATATTTTCAACTTCAAGGAATTTTCCTGAACTTAGCTCTTAAAGCATCAGAGCTTAATCTTTTTGAATGAAACTCTAGGTATGTTAACATTTCTCTACTTGCTTAAATAACAGTCTGTTTTTAAAATAATATGGTGAATAGAACAAATTTAATTCCAGAAGATGTTTATGGGAAGACTAGTCATTGTAAGTGTTAATGTTGGACACTAAGATGGACTCAGGAGTTATTCAGGGATGGTGGGAATATTGCCTTGATAAAACCATAGTGACGGGGCAGCTGGGTGGCTCAGTCGGTTAAGCGTCCAAGTCTTGATTTCAGCTCAGGTCTTGATCTCAGGGTCCAGGGATTGAGCCCTGCATTGGCCTTTCAGTTTAGCAGGGAGTCTGCTTGCGGTTCTTTCCCTCTGCTCGCCCCCACTTGTGCATGCACACACGCTCCTGCTCTCTCTCTCTCAAATAAATCTTTAATTTATGCCTGTAATAATATTCTGAACCTTATGTGCGAAGATGTATGTACTAGATGACCATCAAAAGAAGATGCAGTTTTAAGTTGTTTTCATTTGTAGTGATGCATTTGTGCTGACAGTCTCAGAGGGATTTGGATTGTCTTCCTGGGACCACACTATAATATATAGCAGTATGACTGAATGGAGTTACCTAGCCCACGGGGAGATTGGAGTCTGTTAATTTAAGAAGGAATGGAAATGAAAAACTTAGTGTTGCTTTAAGGATCAAATGTTTTTGATATTTAAATTCAAATCCCTTCTACCAGGTACAGCATCCTGCCGCAAAAATGATTGTAATGGCCTCTCACATGCAAGAGCAAGAGGTTGGAGATGGCACGAACTTTGTTCTGGTATTTGCTGGAGCCCTTCTGGAACTAGCTGAAGAGCTGCTGAGAATTGGCCTGTCAGTTTCAGAGGCAAGTGTTCATTTTATAATGTACTCCTATTTAATTTGTGCCTATATATACACATACCGTAAGAATCATCATTGTAATAATAGTTAACGTTGAGCGGTTTACTTGTGCCACTTCCTGGAGCACATGTGCCTTACGTGCAGTATCTTCTCCTGTTCTTACAAGAACTCTGTGAGTATGGCCTATACTTTATTTTAGATGAGGAAAGGGAAACTTAGAAAAATCTGTAAGTGGCAGTTAGCATTCAAATTCGGGCCATCACAAAAGCCTGAACTCTTGGTTAGTAGGCTATGCCGTTGATGCTATTCTGAAAGTATACTTTGTCATTATATTTGGAAAACAAATACCCGTATTCCTTGGGTTACCAAAATAAGCTATTTTTTAAGTCATGTCAAAATTATGTCTTTTGAAGAAATGTTTTTGCTCTTTATTTTTAAGGTCATAGAAGGTTACGAAATAGCCTGCAGAAAAGCCCATGAGATTCTTCCTGATTTAGTATGTTGTTCTGCAAAAACTCTACGAGATGTTGATGAAGTGTCATCTCTGCTTCATACCTCCATAATGAGTAAACAATATGGTAATGAAGTGTTTCTGGCCAAGCTTATTGCTCAGGCATGTGGTGAGTATATCAGTAAATGAAAAGCTCCAAAATTAAAATGTCTTAATGAGACTAAGATATTTTCTCTGTTGTTGCAATGTATCTTTTGATATGTCTCATTTTCTTAACAGTGTCTATTTTTCCTGATTCTGGCCATTTCAATGTTGATAACATCAGAGTTTGTAAGATTCTGGTAAGTTTAGAAAATGCATCAGTGTTGTCTACATAGGTCAATTATATTTTGCAGAAAGGAAAAATGTGTTCATCCAAACTTAAATTTTACCCCAGGTTTTGAACATTTAGGACTTTGTGCCTTTTGAGGTATCATTTGTACCTTTTGATATTAGGTTAAATTTTAAAGGTTGATGTATTATCTCCTTGTAAAGTCCTCATCTCTCCATGACAACTTGAAGGTTGAGAATGGTGTATAAATAAAATATCACGTCTTATATTTTTCATATGTGCTGAATTAAAACAATAAACTTAGAAGCCAGTTTCGAATGAGATGAAGTTCTGTGGCTCTACAATAGAATCACATCTTAATGTTAGTATTGAAATAAGAGTATTCTTTTTTAATTTTGTGTTTCCTATAGTAAAATTTATAATTTCAGTTGAGTTTGCTTATATAAATATACCTGCTGTGTATTTATACAGATGCTGTGCATTTTCTGACTCCATGCACTACCTCCTCCTCCCCCATTAAACTGTAAGCTTGTAAGATCAGAAACTCTGCTTTGTTCCCTCTTCTGTCCCCAGTACTAACAGCTGTGCCTGCTCCATTGGCACCAAGTATTTGGGGAGTGAGAGAATGAATGGCTCAGAGCCATTGTTCTCGGTCTTCGCTTGCTCCCAGTGCACTGAAGGCCCCCTGCCTCCTTAACAGTGGCTCATTCTCAGAGTGATTTCTACCGCAAGCAGACTCATGTGCTTTGCGCCCACCACGCCACTCCTAATTACCAGGAGTCAATTCCTTGGTATATTACTTTATTTAGAAACAGGTCTTTTTGGTACATGCAAAATAAACAACTGAGCCTTGATGTTACTTTGAGGAGATCATGGATGACTTTCGTATTCAATTTTAGGGCTCTGGCATCTATTCCTCCTCAGTATTACATGGCATGGTTTTTAAGAAGGAAACCGAAGGTGATGTAACATCTGTCAAAAATGCGAAAATAGCAGTGTACTCTTGTCCTTTCGATGGCATGATAACTGAAACTAAGGTATGTAGACTTCAAAACCTTAAAATTAAAGGTAAACATTTGACACTGCCTTTTCAGGTTAATGTTTTATGATTCTTAAGTTTTTAGGTACAGATTGCTCTACTGCTTAATTATTGAAGATTGCAGGATTGTGTTTCTTAGAATCAGATTCCTGTTCTTTTTTGGATACCTAGTTCATATACTAAATTTGAAACATGAAATGGTAGCAGTATAGTTTATGTTCTAACAACTCTTGACTCCTGTAAGTACTTGCTTAGCAAGTAAAATGCTCACGGAATAGGAGTACTGTGTGCTCTTCATTAGTATATTTAGAAGTTGAGATCCTGTAGCATCCTGAAACAAACATGCTAATATAATTTGAAAATAATAGGTTTGTTTTTAAAAATACATTGTTAGGAAGTTTGAAGTTCTTGTTTAGAGGTCACTTCTGTCTTTGTCCCTAGAATTCTTAAAATCTGAGTTGATGGTTTAAACAGTTTCACAGTTTGTAGATGAGCCAGGGGGAGTCATTTTAGAAAAGTTTAGAAGAACTTCGAGAATCACAACGTGGTGATTTTGGTACACCAATTGACATTTGTCAGAAGAAATGCCAAGACCACCTGCCCAATATATCTAAAATAAGTGTTTCTCCAACTTTTCTACAAAGTGCCTGTCAAAGAGCAAAATGCATCAGTTTTAGGAGTGGGGGGCTCTAGCAGTAAGCTGAGTTTTTATGAGTTTTATACACATTTTGTATTGTTTCATAATGTGTGTGTAATTATTTTCCTATTTTTTTGCCAAATCTTTATTCAGTAAAATAATACTCTATGACGTTGAACACCAAACTAGTAAAATGGTTCTAAAGAGCATGCTTGCTTGTTTTGCTAGGGAACAGTATTGATAAAGACCGCTGAAGAATTGATGAATTTTAGTAAGGGAGAAGAAAATCTCATGGATGCACAAGTCAAAGCAATAGCTGATACCGGTGCAAATGTAATTGTAACCGGTGGCAAAGTGGCAGACATGGCTCTTCATTATGCAAACAAGTACAATATCATGTTGGTGAGGTGAGAGCTGCATTCTATTAACCTGTATTGTAAATAGCCTTTTGGTGGTGAAACACCGAACACCTTCAATACACCATGAATTCATGACTTAAAAAAGGGCAAGTAGAAGATACTGGATCAAATAATAGCAGGACTTAACTCGATCTAGAGGGGCAGGAAATGCCTGTGAGAACTAACTTATATTTATACTGAGAGCTGAAGGACCAATCAACAGATGTTATTTGAAGAGGGAGAGGAAAAACATTCCAGGCAAAAGCCACAGCTTGAGAGACCAGACTCAAGCCTGGTGCACACGGTCAGGGTATGGGATCCGGAATGTAACTTCTAATCCATAAACCCGTTTATGGGGCACAGGAGACAATTTACCTACCCATTCCCACCCCTCCCAGCACCTGACCAAATATGCAGTGTAAATCTCTTCTCTTCCTTGGGGCTCTCGTGATTGCCCGGAGTGAAGCAGAAGTTTTCTATATACCAGGCCTGCCTTAGTGTTTTAGAACTGTAATTCGTGACATTCTAGTGAGGCTCGAACTCCCCCAATTCTAGAATAATGCCGTCTACGTAGACCTATGTCTGGATTACATGTGCAGTCCATACCTATTGAGCTTAAATTCAGAATCAAGAATGTGACTTGGGGACCAGTGTACAGTTTTCCTGTTTTCATCTCTGCATTGTGTTATGGTATCTGATGGAATTAAAACTTCTCTTAAGCTCTCTGGGTTTTTTTAAAGGTTGAATTCAAAATGGGATCTCAGAAGGCTATGTAAAACAGTCGGTGCTACAGCTCTTCCTAGATTGGTATGTATTTTGGACAACATTAAAATGTAGTTGAACCTTTTTGAATTACTTTTATTATAACAGTCACTTTCTTTTAGACTCCTCCTGTTCTTGAAGAAATGGGACATTGTGACAGTGTTTACCTCTCAGAAGTTGGAGACACACAGGTGGTGGTTTTTAAGCATGGTATGTAGAAATGGTCAAGTATGTTTATGTAAGTATGGGGTGTTCATTTGCTTGTATTCATATATTTAAATTTCTTGACAGAAAAGGAAGATGGTGCCATTTCTACCATAGTGCTTCGAGGCTCTACAGACAATCTGATGGATGATATAGAAAGGGCAGTAGATGATGGTGTTAATACTTTCAAAGTTCTCACAAGGGTCAGTATTAACAGTACTCTTAATTTAGTAATTTTTAAGGTTTCAAACATAGTTGGCAGAGAACTTCAAAATGAATGGCTTATGTAAAAGCAAAGTACCTCTTACTTAAGGCCAAAGTGTCCGTTGCTGATGAGTATGATAGTTTTCTGAAATGATTATGCAAAAAAAATAAGCGGCAAAGCAAGGCTTTTGACTTTAACTGTTAGAAAAAGTTAGTTTATGGTTGTTTTTTTATTTTAAATGTACCTTTAGTTTCTTAAGCATTATTCTTAGTGCTTTGTCTATGGAAATGCAGGTATATTGTGTGCTGTTCCCATTCTTAACTTTGGTTCTCCCTTTTCATATACCAGACCCTATGTACTATAAGGTAATTTGCCCAAGTCACTCCATTATTATAAAATTTGTAATTAGAATTTGTGTAACAATGCCTGATTAAAAGCTCTAGTCTGGTGGAGTACTAGAATCTGAGAAGATTAGAAAACTATAAATTGCTTCTTAGTAAATTTTTTTTTTCCTACATATTCTAGGATAAACGCCTTGTTCCTGGAGGTGGAGCAACAGAAATTGAGTTAGCCAAGCAGATCACATCATATGGAGAGGTATAGCTTTCTCTGTATAAATTGACTCTTGTCGTGTTCCTTGAATAAAGTACAGTGCTAAACACATTTTTGTTTTAGACATGTCCTGGACTTGAACAGTATGCCATTAAGAAGTTTGCTGAGGCATTTGAAGCTATCCCCCGGGCACTGGCAGAAAATTCTGGAGTTAAGGCCAATGAAGTCATCTCCAAACTGTATGCAGTACATCAAGAAGGAAATAAGAATGTTGGATTAGATATTGAGGTATTTGAAAAAACAAACACTGTAAACTTACTTATTTTGTCAATATAAAACATAAAAATGGAAGTAGTAAGTTTAAAAGGGAAAGTCAGAAAATGTTCTGATTTGTAAGCAGATGATTTTCATAACAAAAGCTTTGACATAGTTTGTCTGACATTTCCTTTAAATAACCTTTGTTTTATAGTGTGCGTAGGAGAGTACTTTCATCTGGCAACTTTCTACATAAGGAGCCATGTGTTTTTATTACTGAGCTAAACATTTTCACATTCAGCAATTTAAAGTGAAAGAAGGAAAATTGTTTTTGTGCTAACAGGCTGAAGTTCCTGCTGTAAAGGACATGTTGGAAGCTGGTATTCTAGACACTTACTTGGGAAAATACTGGGCTATCAAACTGGCTACAAATGCTGCCGTCACTGTACTCAGAGTGGATCAGGTGAGTGACAAGAGAAATTTTGATCTTTAAAAGTACTAATTTTCATATGGTTCAGTAGTGTATTTTCATTGAACTGGTTATTCTAGCCAAAGGCATATTCCTTTATTTTTCATCTTAGAGATGCTACAGTGCCCCCAGAAAAGTTCGGGGTTTTTTCTGTTACAGTTTTAAATTGTATTTAGTATATTTCAGCTAAAATAAATGAGTATCTTTTCAGTGAAAGAAACCTTTGCCATTTTTAAACTGGAATGGATAAAACAAGTTCATAGTTTTCAGACATTTTTTAGCCTAGGAACCCCTTTCTACAAATAACAATGGAAACTCCGGGAGTTCACTGTGTCATGTGGAAGGCCCATGAAGCCCTGAAGCACGTGCACGCCACCAACTTTAAGGAAAATGGAGCCTCTAGTTGTCCATGGAGTTGCTAGAACCTAGGTGCATAGAATTCTTTCTGCTAAACTGTTTTGAGGAACTAAAAAGTGTCAAAAATCATAGTATTTCTGCCAATTTTTTTTGCAGGGGGTGGTGGGAAGGATACTGTGGCAAAGAGGAAAATGGTCAAGACTCTTCTAGGTTCAGATATGAGCCTGAATTCAAAGGGGATTTTTCAAAAGGTGTTTTCTGAAATCCATTTTCCTTCAGAATTCTAGAAATGATTGTTAAGTATTGCTTAATAGAAAGTTGTAATTGTGAGGGGCATGGTTATAAATCCATTAGGTGAAAATCATGCCAAATTAATCTTGGGAGAAACAAGTTATAAGTAGAAATTAATGGAGAGGAGTTTAGACTTACTCTAAGCATAACAAGGACCAGTTAGTTGTTGATAATTAAAACATTCTACACCTCAGTAGAAATAAGAACTTTTTTCCTACTTTTGGTCCTTGAGATGACAAAAAATGGAACTGGATATCCAGTTTCAACTCACTGGAGATAAACAAATTGGATGTTCATGTCCTGGATTTATTAATAGGGTGTGTTTATATCAGTGTATCAGGTGGTTTCCAGTAGAATATGGTTTTGGAGTTCTCAAATAGTGCAGGCCGAAGAAAATGGTTTTTCTAAAATTTATACTAAAAATAGAAGGGGACAGGAGAAGCTAAGTACATTGAAGCATGAGGTAAACTGGAATTCTAATAGTGGGAGTTCCTTAACTGAGGAACTTTTTAAATGTCAGTTATCCAAGTGAGACAGTAATTATTACTAATAACCCAAGTGCCTTGATCACAGAGGCACTTCTCAATTTTGGTTTTAAACTGGGATGCCTGTGTTTTGTTTTATTGTAGAGCAGGATGTTGATTGTTGTGTCTCTGGACTTTTTTCAAATATCTGAAGAACCCATCTGACTATCAGTAACCACTTTGTTACTATAATGAACTTGTACTCTTTAAGGGACTTGCGAATCAAGTTTTAAATATTGAAGAACTTAGGGCTGGATTCATCTTTGTTCAGGTGTTTGTTTCACTAGTTCTGAAATTATAGTCCCCAAACCAACAGCATCAAGATCACCTAAGAATTTGCTAAAAATATAAATAAATTCTCGGGGCCCCTAACAGGCCCACTGAATCAGAAACTCTGGGAGGAGGCCCAGCAGTCTATTTTAAATAAGCTCTCTGGTGATTGACGCCTACTAGGCTGAGAACTGTTCTGAGATGTTTGGTTTTATCAAGCTACACTCAGGTTCTAAAACTGTACCTAATACCTTTAATTCAGCCTGAATTTAACCTCAATTAGTGAAATGTTATATGAAGAATTTCAAGTTTAGATTTCCTGTAGAAGCTTCTGAAAAAAGGGGTGTTGAATCTACTGGAAGTGGTAGTGAAGATGTTTTACGGTTTGTGTTGCTTGAGACACAAGCAAGACCCCTTGATGTTCTACAGAAAGATCTCTTAGTCCTATAAATTTGGGAAGCAATGGGTACTATTTTCAGGTTAGAGATTCAGAATGTACATTAGAGTTTGAGAGTTCTACTTTGAGGAAAGCCAGCTAATTTAGATTCTCCCAAATTTGAGTCCAAAGCTGCCACTACCCCTCTTTTTTCTCCCAAATAAATCCTTTAAAAATGCTAGATGGTTATACTTGGAACATACTTGGTGGTTAGTGCATTTTAGAAAAATTAGGGGCTTCTTGGTGTGTTCTTTTAAGTTACCAGGAAACTACATATATGGTAATTGTTTATGAATACGCACTTCCTGCCACTTGAATGGTTTTCATTTACAGGTACTAGAAAATTTCAGTGTTGAACTTTTATATATATTTTTATTTATGTACCAACCACTTTAGATTATAATGGCAAAACTGGCAGGTGGACCTAAACCTCCTAAACCACAAGGAAATTGGGATAAAGATGATTGGCAAGACGAACTTCATATATAAATAGCAAATCAGGTGCCAAACTGATTTATATTAGTAATGCATGCAGGTATTTTTCACATTTGGCTAGGGTTATTGAGTTACTGAAGTGCATGTCTTAGAATGCCCTTCACTAACGTGTTTGGATTTTGTTGCTGTTAATGTCCACAAGAGCCGTCAAAGCATTGCTGGAAGCTAACAACTTTGTGATAGTGTCTCATATGCAGTATATAACAGTTTGCTTATATGAGAGGATTGCTTCGTCTTGAATCAGTCTAGCAGAAAAATATTCTTTCTCTTCATTTTAAAGGTAAGTTTATAAGTATGTACTTGTGGTTTGTTTTTTCAGATCATCATGGCAAAACCAGCCGGTGGGCCCAAACCTCCAAGTGGGAAGAAAGACTGGGATGATGACCAGAATGATTGACTGGCTTAGTTTTTACTATAGGTGAAGACTACATTTGTAGTAGTAGTCTAGGAATTGCTTGATGTTTTCATATTTTCCTTAAATTAAGAAGTGTTTTGTGTTTATATCCTCAGCTGGATGATACAATAAACATGTTGTTGGTATCAAAGCCTCATTGATGAGCAGTGTTCTTGGACGTGAATGACCTGTTTGTCTCAACCTTGGTAATGAAATTAGCTGTGGGACCTCAGGCAAGCCACTTAATTAGAGGCCAATTCCAATATATAGCTGGCTTGCTGCCCGTTTGGAACACAGCCATGCTCGTGTATTTACATACGGTCTATGGCTGCTTTCTGTAAGGAAATGGCAGGGTAAAGGAGTAGTGATAGAGACTAAGTGGCCTACAAAGCCTAAAATATTTACTATCTGTCCCTTTACAGGAGGTCTGTCTCCCAGATTGGATTTCAGTTTTTTCACAGCTCTGCTCTGGGAATTCTAAGACTTGAGAGGGCTTGTTGTAGTACCAATGAATGATCTGTTGAATAGCTAGCTTAAAATACAGTCCAGTAGTAGAATGTAAAGATACTTGTAATACAACTGAAAATCTATCTGGTAATAGAGATAAATTAAGCAAGTCAGTTTTTATAAAGTAGATCTTAATTTTTTAAGATCAGTAAGGAGTTTTGAAAAAACATGAAAGGTTAACTGATTTTATGGGACACAGGCTACTGTTGTGTTGGTTATGTGAGGTCTATGAGTAACACTGAAATTTTATATTAAAAAAACTAAAATTTATATTTTGGTATTTGGAAAGAATTTTGGGAGCAGTACGACTGGGACTTAGATAAAGTCAAGTGTTAAAGAGTAATGGAAGTTTATAGACAAGCTTGGTATCTATTAAGGCTCTTAGGATTATAAGCAACTTGGCAATGCTGGCTGCCTTGGGTAAAGACATTTTCTCTGGCATGCTAGCATTAAGGGGGACCTGGTATAAAATTACTTGAGTCTCGGGAGTGTCTACCTTGGGTCAGTTAACAGTTGCACGGAACAAGTGCAGTTAGGCCCACACCACACCGTAGCTTACGTACACTGTATGCCATCAGAATTGTAAATACGAGTATTTCTTCCAAGTATATACGATTGCCAATATCAAATGTCTATGCTTATATAATCAACACTTTTTAAAAATACACCTGAAGTTTCATTAGCCAGTCTGAAACATTTTTTTAAATGTTACCTGCTAGGGTAAGAACACAACTTAAAATCCTCCAAGTAATAAGTTTTGGGGGTAAGTCAGTTTATTGATGCTATAACCCACCACCCAGACATATTTAATCACAGAGGACTTAAGGAATTCAGAATCCTCTCCAGAAACTGGAAGCAAGAATAAAAACCACTATGACAATACAAAACCATTGTAAATTTTTAGGTATTTTCCCTTCAATATTTTAATAAACATGATTTCTTCTGGCATGTGTTTAATTTTAAGTGAACATGATTTTACAGTTAGTCTTTACTTCTTTATTATTATTATTATTAATTACAGCCATTTTAAAAGCCGAGAAAGCACTCTTTGAAACTATTACAATACTCTCTCATAAAACAGGAGGTACGCTTGTGAGTTCAGTACTTTGGCTGTAGGCACAGCTTGCACATGTGTATCACTGATGTGAAACCACTGCCCTTTGGTTGACTGCATTTCGAAATCTGTCGAGAGAAAGTTACATATAAATGGGAAGATTCAAGTTCATTATTTTTTGGTTTTGCCATAATCGGAATACCAGAATTTTCCAAGACCTCTTACCTTGTGGAATATCACCATGGAGAACGAGATTAGAGAGATGACTATTCGCAGCTCTGGTCTTGGCATAGGCAGTATAATGCCCTGACCTCATGGTACCACTGTGTTCAACGACTCCATATAAGGAATACAGTACCCTCGTATTTTCTTCAGCGACATTCTTTCAAAATGAACAGAATTCAAAAATTAGTTCTAGTCCCATTTATAGATGCCAGTGGCAAGATCACTTTATGCAAAGGGTGGCTAACCTTTACTTTGAGAATGTAGAAATCAAGTTCGACCTTGACTACGACTTTTTCCCTACCTTTACCCAGCCTACTGAGTACTGTCACCATGGCTTGATGTTTTTATTGCTTTTATTAGAAAATCACCATTGCTGTTTCTCTGCTAGAATCATAAACCAGAGGCCACTTGCTGCAATTGCAGTTTCCTGGCCCAGATACTTAAATAACTGAACTTGCCAGTTTCTATATGAGTCCTGGGCTCTGATAATTGCAAAATACCTCAATAGCGCTACCAGTCCAGTTCCTCCCTAGACTGTAAGCCTTTTTTAAGATCAAGAGGATAGCGTTTAAGTTGTGCCAAAACTCCCCCTTACATTTACACATGTCCCCTAAAGATTCAACTTCTCACTTTCACCATCTAGACCTCAGAGCCTGCTTATTCTAAAATCCCGTATGCTGTAGGGCAGACTGGTAACAAGGAAAGGCATTCTCCGAGCAGGGGGCCACTTTCAGACAACTTCCAACCTAGGTTCTCTTGTAAAAAGTCCTGAATGGGCATCACTGTCCTTCCACAGAACTGTCATCTCTTTAAATCTACAGCCCCCATTCACTGGAAAACTTCATACTTCACCCCAAATCCTGTCTGCTTCCTTGGGGAGTTCATGGGTTGTGTGCTTCCCAGGGTTTCTGCAGCCATCCTGTTTTCACTGCCATACCCAGGACTAAATTCTGCAATGGGTCCTCACTTGGAACTGTTCAAGTCTTCCCATTTTTCTAGTCTCAGCCCACAATTCTGTTCTTCCAGTTCTCATCTCACCTGTCCCCTCTCTCTCCAACCTAACTGGATGCTCCAGTCCTCATTTTCTCCTGGCTGATGAAGCCTCTCCTGGCCTCATTCCCCGATCAACTCTGTGTCTTCTCTACTCAAAATGGCAACAGAACAGCAGTGTCTGCGTAGACCCCCACCTAAGACCTACTGATGCCCAAGTGACATGCACACATTAAAGCTGGAGAACTTAGACCACATGCATCAGTCTTAAAAATAATCTCTTAACACCCACCACCAGCCTTGCCAGCACATTGATCAGAAAATCCTACTCTGGGTGGATTTTCTGGAATCCTACTCTGGGCGCCTGGGTGGCTCAGTTGGTTAAGCGACTGCCTTCGGCTCAGGTCATGATCCTGGAGTCCCGGGATCAAGTCCCGCATCGGGCTCCCTGCTCGGCAGGGGGTCTGCTCCCCCCTCTGCCCTCTTCCCTCTCGTGCTCTCTGTCTTTCATTCTCTCTCTCTCAAATAAATAAATAAAATCTTTAATAAATAAATAATAAATAGATAGATAGATAGATAAATAATAAATAAATAAAATAAATAGAAAGAAAGAAAGAAAGAAAGAAAGAAAAGAAAGAAAGAAAGAAAGAAAGAAAGAAAGAAAGAAGAAAGAAAGAAAGAAAGAAAGAAAGAAAGAAAGAAAGAAAGAAAAGAAAGAAAATCCTACTCTGAATCCTACAACAAACCCTTCCCAACCCCACACCCAGACAGCTGCTATTCCTAGGCAGCAAAATTACATACCCTGCAGATTGATAAACTCACTGAGGACTCATCAGGATCTCGCATGTGACTACAATCTTGTAACTTGTTCCTTAGCTCCCTAGTTCCATGGATTTCCTTCACAGCAACTGGCCCATTCCTTTAGCCTCCCCTTATCCCCCAAACCTTTACTAATCTCTGCTGTTGACTTCACCCCCCACTTCAGGAAAACGGAGATACAACCTACCCAACTCTAAGTTGCTCATTCTTGGCAACCCACCAGCTCTGAAATACCTTTCTTGAAGGATTTTAAATTTTTAAATTGGGAGGCAGGACAGGAGAATTTCTATCATTTCAAATTTTGCACATAAACTTTATTAATGTTGATACTGAAGCATTTGAAATCTGAATATACTACTATAGCTTCTCTGTCCAAATTCTTCAACATGGAGATTTGCTGAGATTGTTGGTAGTGTCCTCCT